ACCCCCCCCCCCCCCCCGGGCGCGAACCCAAAAACCCACATCCTACACCTCATACCTGCCCTAAACCTACTACGCCGTCCTGGCGTCTGCGGATGATGCTATTCAAGGTCTACCTGGCTAATCGTCGAGAGATGTACAGAGCCCATGAAAAGAAAGTGATGGCCGAAAAACCGTCTAATTTTGTCTTGTTATTTGTGTTTGGGGTTTGGTGGTTTCAGGGTCTAAGGCTTTTCTGGTGTGGGGCTTTCAGGTTGCAGGTTTTCGGATGTGTTGAGCTAGAGATTGTCAATTTTCCTTCCCCACCCGTAAGCTTTCAACGCCCCAGACGCCTCACCTTCCCCCCCTCGTCAGACAGGTAAAATGCACAACCTAGACCCAAGAATTCTGGACGCTCCCCCCCTCGCGGTAAACCCTACATCCTAAAACCCCTCATCAACGCCCGATACACCCTCTTAACTCCCACACCGCAAAACTAAACCCCTCAAACCCTAAATCGCAAGAATCCCTTCTGCAGGCTACCCTGGCCGACCTCCTCCAACAGCAGGAGGAGGACAGACCGGCCAAAGAACTGCAATGGATGATCTTCAACAGCTTTTGAAGGGCTTTAGGCTCTAGAGGTATTCAAAAAGAGGCTTTCAAGGTAGTGGTAGAGAAGGGATATAGGCGGGCCTGGGATCTATTGTTTAGGGTTCAGGGTCCGTGTTTGGGTTCAGGTTGTAGAACTTCATTGAGGCCTTCAAACGACCTTGGGTTAGCCTAAAAGCCAGAATTAGTTCAACTATCCCCGGTCGCGAACATGCGAACCCTGATGAAACCCCATGGAGCCCTTGTGAAGCCCCATCGTCAAGCCCTGCTTAAGCTTCATACAAAATAGGGGACGCTTGTGAACACCCTGCCCTCTATAGGGCACCTTATGCGAGACTCCAGAACCCTTACCTTAACAAATCCCTGGTAAAACCTTTGCGGGATTGTGTAAGACCTTTTCACGAAGCCCTAAGTCCCTAAACCCTATACATCGAAAACCTGTAAGCCCAAATCTGAAACCGCGAGCCCTAAACCCGAGACCCTTTTGCAGTCTATTTGTAACCCAAAACCCAAAACCCCTCTAAAGTCGAAGTCCAACAGTTGGAAACCCCATAGCCTCAATCCCTAAGAGTAACCTTAACCCACCAGAACCGACTTTTTGTAGATTCCTTATATCCCATATTTGGGTTTATAATAAGAACCTACAAAAAAGTGGGTTTTGGTAGGTTAAGAAATGTATAGGGAATCCCAGCACTATTTGTCTTTAATCCGGTTTCCAGCTTTTTGGGTTTTACTATAAAGTCTCTTTTGATTTTTGGGGAAGCCTTATAGAAGCCCTATATACCCTAAACTCCCCACCTGTAGTTTCCTTTAAACCCTAAACCCCTAAACCCTAAACCCTAAACCCTAAACCCTAAACCCTAAACCCTAAACCCTAAACCCTAAACCCTAAACCCTAAACCCTAAACCCTAAACCTCAATTCCTTTAACTAAAGTCTCCTTTGATTTTTGCGCAGGTCGCCCTGCTTGGGCTTGCTGCTCTGGAGCTCCAGAACATCCATGCGGCGGGCCCGGTGGCGCAGGTCCTCCCAGGTTTAGGGTTTAGGGTTTAGGGTTTAGGGTGGCGCAGGCCCTCCCACCAAAGGGGGGGGGGCTAGGGTTCAGGGTTTGGGGTCCCAATTTGGGGTTTAGGGCTTCGGGTTTGCAGGGTTAGGGGTTTAGGGTTTAGGGTTTAGGGTTTAGGGTGGCGCAGGCCCTCCCACCAAAGGGGGGGGGGGCTAGGGTTCAGGGTTTGGGGTCCCAATTTGGGGTTGAGGGCTTAGGGTTTGCAGGGTTAGGGGTTTAGGGTTTAGGGTTTAGGGTTTAGGGTTTAGGGTTTAGGGGCTTCGGGTTTCTAGGGCTGAGCGCTTTGGCTCTTCGGGACTTCAGGTTCTTGGGGCTTAGGGCGCTGTTCTGGTCTGGAGCTTTGAGGCGTTGAGGGCTTCAGGGCTTCAGGCTTTAAGGATTTTAGAGGTTAGGCGTTTCAGGTTTTGCGGCTTTAAACTTTCGGGCTTGAGCCCCTTGACTACGACTGCCTATTTTTTTTTTGCGACCAGAAGCAAGGCCTTGATCAGTCCTGTCTGCCTGAAGCCCTGAATGTAACGCCTTAAACCTTGCATCCCCGGACCACCCTTGTAGCAATTCTAGACGCTTCGCGTCGCTCTTAAGCCGGGGGTGGGACATGGGGAGAGAGGTCAGAGGGGAACCTTTAACTGCTTCGGCCGAGACGGGTTAGCATAATATGTTTGAGATGTTGCTTTCAGTTTGCTTATATAGGGTGCTTCACCCCTCTACAAGTCCCTGAAAGTATTGACCCTTACCCGCCTTCGCGCGGCTAATCGAGATTTTGACAAGGGTCGAGGAGCCTTCGAACAGCGCACAGTATTTTGCGGGTTCCATGGTAGTTCGGTCTCTAGGATCTCGAACCATTAGTCATAGAATCTAGTACCGTAGAGAGTACAGTAGGATACACCTCTGATGAATACACCCGTCGCTCAACAGATAATTACTGTACTATGGATCCTCCATAGAATGGGGGGTATTACTCAGCGGTCCACTTTACCCTTGTACAGCCTACCTAGTTTTTGGAAGAGGGTTCAACCTCCCCATATAGTTCAGGATGCTTTAGAGATTGCAGGATTCTGTCCAGCAGCCATACGAGCCCCGTCATTCGAAGGCGGCCGAGTCGATCCGTCTGGCATCCCGTTGCGTCCCCAGCCGTCGGGACAAGAGTCTAGGTTTTGAAGGTATGAGAACATGGAGGGTCGAAGGTCTATTTGGGTAGTTTTCTTAGTTAGGCTCCCTTTTGGGGTCCTTTTTATAAGGGCGTCCCTACTATAAATTGGGGACCTAAAAAGGGACCCTAATTTAAAGAACTACTCATTTAGGTTTGAGGGATTCAGGGTTCGCGGTTTAGGGCTTTGGGGTTCTGGTTTGTGACCTCTTAGGATCAGTGCGGCTTGTCGAGCTGCAGGGAGATGGACTCGAGTTTCGGGTTCGGTGTTTAGGGGTTCTAGGGTTTTGGGATCTTTTTTTGGGGGGTGAGCCTGTCGGAGACGTGTTTTGCATTTCGTTTAGCTGCGCACGCGCTGCGTGGAATCCTTCGGCCGTTCTCAGAGCGCCGAATCCGAGGCCCCTTCCGCCGTCCCCGCCTTCCGAGTTCCGCGGCGCATCCGCCATGCCCCAGCAGCCCGAAGCAAAATATCTCCATGAGCTGACCGAAGTCCCGGCCAGCTGGCGCCTCACGACCGTCATCGATGCCTTCCTCGACTTGGCTGTTTGGAAGGAAGGTCATGCTCCTTCGGACCGAGCTCGCGAGGCGGTGAGCCGGCGGCTGGTGGAGTTGTGGGCCGCGCAGCCGGCGGAGGGGGAGGTCTGGCTCCAGCGGTGCCGGGAGCTCTACGCCAAAGAGCTCGCATGCAAGGTGACGAGGCCGGAGCTGCTCAGCGAGGCGCTGCTCCAGCACGGCGCGGCCGAGTTCGACAAGTATGGGCGGGGCCACTGGCGCTTCTCCGAGGCCGGGCTGCTGCGAGGAGCGCCGTGCGGCTCAGCAGCAGAGCGGGAGCGCTTGGCGGCTAACTACCTGCAGAGGAGTCCCTACATCCGCAATCGCTGCGAGGAGCTCGCGGAGCGGCTCGTGGAGGCGGAGAGCCCGGAGACGGCGCGGAAGCGGCAGAAGCTCGAGGAGGAGACCACCGAGCGCCGGCGCCTCGAAGCGGAGCTCCAACAATCGCAGGAGGAGGGCCGGGAGCTCAGAAATCGTCTGGCTGTGGCGGAGGCGCAGGTGCGCAGTGCGCAAAGCGAGAGTGCAGGTCTCAAAGAGCAGCGCGTTGCAGCTGCGGAGTCAGCCGTGGCGGAGATACGGAAGGAGCTCGGGCAGCTGCAGGACGAGCATGGCAAGTGCCAGGAGCGTTGTGAGGAGCTCCTGACTCGGTTGGAGGCAGAAGCTTCCAAGCATGCAGCTACGAAGGAGCGTCTCTCACAAGCCGAAGCCGATGCTGCGGAAAGGAGGATGGAGGTGGAGCGGCTGCAAGAAGAGAGTCGCAGCTACCAGGCAGAGACTTTCCTTTCGGCAGGCGATGCGGGGAGCGAAGCGGAGCTGCTGCTCCAGAAGGCGGTGTTCCAAGACCGCTGCGACCAGCTTCGGCAGCAGCTTTCGAAAGCAGAGGCCGAGAGATCGGTAATGCTCGGTCAGATGCAAGTTTTGTGGGAAGAGAAGGGCATGTACAAGGAACGCGCTCGTGAGCTGGAGAAGCAGCTTCTTGAGGTGAAGCAGTCCCATCATCTCAACTCCGGTCACACCCCGCATTGCCAAGCTCCTGTCGACGAAGCCTCCAACAGCCAGGAACCAGATCTTGCCGAGCAGCTGGGGTACAGCTTCGTGGATGACGACGGCACATCCTCTTCGGTCTTGAGCCGCTCCTCTTGGTTCTCTGTGAAGCCAGACTCGGTGCAACCTCACTGCTTTATGGTCGATGCCATCTTCAAGACGCGCAGCTTCGGGGCGGACTTCTTCTTGATGGGAAGAGACCTCAAGAAAGGTTCGCAGGTGGTGGCTGGAGATGACGCGTCTATCCTGGAGGTGGCCAAGACGCCGGAGATCTGCGAAGCCAGCGAGGTTGTGGAGTTGCAGGCGGGCACTGCAACCTTGCGGGTGACTGCAGACCACTTGGTGCAGGTCGCCGACCCAAAGGGCGAGGCGGCGGAGAGCCTCTACCTTGCGGCTGGCCAGCTGAAGGTGGGCGACCTGGTCATGCTCGACTCCGGCGACGTGGCGGCCCTCAGCAGCGTCGTCCTTCGGCGTGAGGCCTGTCAGGTGCTGAAGATCGTTTTTGAGCCCTGCATGCCCGTGGCCGTCTTCTCTCGCCCCACCTGCATCCTCAGCCTGGGCCACAAGAAGAAGCGGCCCATTCGTCGTGGTGGACGAAGCCGGGAAGGCCCGTCTCCTTCAGATAACAGCATGGACGGCGGAGTTTCTGTCCCCATCACGGCGGGTGAGTACATGGACTAGGCCCTTGGTTGATGATGTGTATAGATGGGCCCGAAACATCCCCCTATTGCAGTTTTTGCGAATTCACGGACTCCGGTGATGTGTGGTCAAGGAGGTCAGCGCACCGCCACCTAGGCATGTCTGTGCCAGACACTTCTTGGCTTGTCGCTGGATTCGCTCGAGTGTGCAGCGCACGTGACCCCCACTTTACATGATCCAACTCGTCATGGAAGCCGATGGTATCATGTTGTAACCGTTTTGCGGACGCTGAGGCGTGGGTGTGCAGAAGAAGGTTAGCCGCACGAAGCACCGATGTTTAGTGGGGGTTGCTGTGCCAGCAGAAGAGCTCGTGGCAGTTGAGTCTGCGCAGAAGCCTGCAGTCCCGAGAGCTTCCATCCAGATCCAGGTTTAGGTTGGACCGCTCGCACGTCAAAATGTCGAGGAGCTTGTCGCATCAGCGGTCGTGCTTTGGTTGTTCTTCTGTTCGCGAGGGCTCCGGATTTTTTCAGCTGTTGCTTCAGGATTTAGGCCTGGGATTTCGGGATTAATCATTGACTAACCACTGGTTGTATGACTTTGTGACTCTAGGCATTGATCCTCTGGCTAAGGCCCTGGCCCTTCAAGACAGGGGGGGTTTATGAATCAGGCATCCCCTAAACCCTAAACCCTAAACCCCTAAACCCCTAACCCCCTAAACCCCTAAACCCTAAACCCCTAAACCCTAAATCTACACACGTCATCAGCAGCTTTTAGGGGTTGTGGTCCCGGCTCAGTGGTTGAGGCTTGGGGTTTAGGCCTTGGCAGATCCCGAGCCCTCTTGCGGTATAGTGGCCTTCAAGAGTCAATGAAGAAACCCTAAACCCTAAACCCTAAACCTTCTAGAGTCAATGAAGCTTCGTTTTAAAGTTAGAATCGGTTTTGGGATATGTTATATTTTTTGACTGCTGACAGGTGGACTATAAAATAAAGGGAATGTTGTTAGGAAGTTTTGGGCAACGTCAGGGTTTGATAGGGATGAAGCCAGGCCATGACCCCAGGCAAGGAACGTTCAGCTGTGCGGTTTACCGTTTAGGGTTGACTCCTCTAATGTAGGGGCCTAAACAATTGCCTATACTATTTTGGGGGTTCCTTATTATAACTATAGTACAATGGGCCCCAGAAACCCAATTCTAATTATGAAGGCCCTTATATTATCTACATCCAAGGCCCTGTTGAAGACATTGCGGAGGACCGCAACCGCTGTGGGCAGTGTGGGGTATGGACGATCCATATGTGTATGTATGTATATATGTTATAACATGCTGTTGCATCATGTTTCATTGTGATGGGGAAAGCTACACATGCTTACTTACTTCAATGTGAACATCAGTTCTCTCACAGGGGAGTGCGTCGGGAAGGATCTTCATCTGTGGAGGAGTTTGTGCTTCGGGCAGTCTTGATGGTGGCTCAGGATCCGAGCTACGAGCTCATCCCCAATCCTACCTTGTCTTAGATTGTATGGGTAGCTTTCTAAATTAGGGTCCCTTTTGGGGTCCTTTTTATAAGGGTGCCGTACTACATTGGGGGACCCAAAAGGGACCCTCATTTGGAGAACTGCACATATTAGTTGGATTATGATCATGATTCTCATTCGTCATGAAGCGTGCAATTTCTAGATCTCCAGAACATAGCCGCCCTGACGAGCCTTGAACCGCAAACACCAGCCATTGAATGCCCCCGAATCGACCCCTACAGATCCTACATAGCTGCGCATGCCGAAACCCATCGCGTACCAATATTTCCGATTTGTGCATGTGGGGGCGTCCGGGTGGATGTGTGCATACACGCACGCATGATTCGATCCCTGCACATACACACGCACATTTTGCACACGTCGCCGCGTGTAGATTGTATGCACAACTTAGACACCAGCAGGTTTCAATTATCTATTCTGGCATCCTGAACCCAATTCCCGGAATTGCCAAATGCCCTACCCTAAACCCTAAACCCTAAACCGTAAACCCTAAACCCTAAACCTAAACCCTAAACCCTAAGCCCTGTACCTAAAGCTGCAAGCCCTAAACCTCCCAACACGGCACTCTTATCCCGACAGGACCAAAGCCATCAACCGTAACGTAGGAATATACGGGCCTGAATAATTTCTACAAGGATTTTGGGGCCCAGTGTACTATATCTATAGTAAGGAGCCCCCAAAATAGTTTTGGTAATTATACAGGACTTTAGATATTCATCCATGCAATACATCCTCCGTTGCCTCACGACGACAACCCCAATCTCCAAACCCTACTGTAAACCCTAAATCCCAAACCCCAAACTCTAAACCACATTCTAAGCCTTACAGTAAATCCCAAACCCCAAACTCTAAACCACATTCTATGCCCTATATTCGGTAAGGCCCAAAACACCAACCTCTAAACCCTGGGCCTTGCAATAAATCCTATGCCCCAAGAACCCTGGGCCGCAGGAGTTGCAACTGCCATCCTCCACTGTCTTAGCGCTCCAAAAATCCGGCGATCTCGCCGCACTGGCGGACGAGATCTACAGGGCGCAGGCCCCCCCGCAATCTCGGATGTCGGGTTTTTGAGTTCACTGGGATTCATTCAGTTACCATAAGGCTGAGGGTTCCGGATTCAGAGTTTAAGAGTTTCGGGTTTGGGGCTTACTAGTGTTCTTGGGGTTAGGGTTAACCCTAAACTCTAAGCCTTAAGCCCCAAACCCTAGCCCTAAAGCTCCAAAACTCTATAAACACTGAAGCCTGCAACCCTGAGCCCGAAGCCCCGAATACGTGGACCACTGCCATCCGCCATGACACGCTCCCCTTGCCGCCCTGGTGGAGGCCCTTGGGATCCCTCAGGGAGCTTGGTGTCCCGGCCGATTTCCAGTTGAGGGTAGCAGTAGCAGTTTCAGTAGCAGCAGTCGTCGTCGTCGTCGTCGTCGTCGTCGTAGTAGTAGTAGTAGTAGTAGTAGTAGTGGTGGTACTACCAGAGGTAGTAGTAGCAGCAACAGTACGAAGGAAGAGGTGCGAACAGGATTCTGACGAAGGGGTCGTAATGTTTGTTAATACTAGTCCCTTAATATGGTCCCCATTCTAGCTAGAGTATGATCCGTGATATATACCCAATAGCCAGTTCTAGTTACTAAGAGTAAACATGTCTTTTGTCCTCTTCGCCCGATGCCCCGAGGCTTGCCAAGAGCTTGCAGCGAAAGAACAACACCTTTCTGCTCGGAGCCCTTTGGCCTTTCTGTGATATGGAAGGGTTCCTTTCGGGGTTCCTGACCCTAGACCCTAAACCCTCTGTGGGTGTTCCTTTATAAAGGGTTCTCACAGGGCTACGATGAGCGTTTTGTCCGGGCTTACAGTTCATCTGAATGGTTACCCATGCTATTCAGGGTTCCTTCATATGGTTATACTCGAATATGCCCCAAGATCTAAGTGGGATACACGTGATTCTTATGGAGATTCGCTTCTAAAAGCCGGGCAAGGCTGGTAAGGTGACCTCAAGCTCAAAATTGACGTGCCGTTTTGTTTATATGTGCGGTTAACAGGGATCTCATGAGGCCTTTAAAGGCAAATCTAGGCAAAAGGTTTGATGAGGTAGAGTTCTCCTTTCTTGACCTCCGGGGTCTCGTCGTTTCGGATGTTAGTTAGGACCAACCCGCAGCTCTCAGCCCCCAAAGCCGAACACTAGCGGCACTTGTTCAGTGGTAGGGTTTGGTGAAGAGGCACCATGGTCTGAATCATTAGGATTTAGGGTTTAGGGTTTAGGGTTTAGGGATTATTGTGATCAGAAGTATCTCACCCCAAAGCCCTATTCCAAGTTTCAGAGATCCCAGTCGGAAGAGCCACGCCACGATCCAAGGCCAAGGCAGCATTTCTGCACAGCCCTCTCCTCAGCAATCGGCGAGCGGTGGTCGCTGTTGTGCAGTTCATGGGGCCTAAGGGCCTTGTAGGGTTTTTGCCTAGGGGTTTTTATTGGGTTTTGTAGTTGTTTTTAAATGAGGGTCTATGGGGCGACAAAAGGTTGTCTCACAAGAGACTTTGGAGCTAGGGATCTGTGGTGCTTTAGGGTTTATGTTTCAGAGCTATTTTTGGTCAAGTTTCAGAGCTTCAGGGTTCAGTATGGTCAATCATTCAGGGGCAGAGCATTCAGGCTTTGTTGATTTCTGGCTGGCCCTTGCGCACTAGCCCTCAATCCCTAAACCCCGAAACTCTAAGCCCTACGCCCAAAGCCCCTTTTTCCGGGCCCCAAACCATAAATGCCTCAGAATCTAAGCTCGAAGCTTAGGCCCCAAATCCTAAGGCCCTTCCCTCTCGTTACACCCTAAACGCTGGACGTGAGGTTCAGGGTTTAACGTGGCTGTGAAGGGCACGATGTTCCGAGCTTCTCTAATTTTGGAATCTTAGTATTGGGGCCCGTGTTTAGCTATAAAAACAACTCGAAGGGGATAAGAAAAAGATTTCCAACGGTCCAGGCAGTCTTCCTTAGGCCTGAGGCTTTCGGGTTACAGCCCAAAGCCCTACAGCAACTAAGGTGTAGGGTTTAGGGTTGACAAGGGACCGCAACTCAGAGCGAAAAGTAAGTGAAGACTCGAGAGGTCTAATCGCCCCAGACCCTAGACCCTAAACCCTAAACCCTAAACCCTAAACCCCTAAACCCCTAAACTCCTAGACCCAAAATCCTAAACCCCTAAACCCCCAAACCCCTGAACCCCTTAAACCCCAAAACCCTAAACCCCCAAAACCCAAGACCCCTGAACCCTTAAACCCCAAAACCCTAAGCCCTAAACGCCTAAACCCCTAAACCCCTGAACCCCTGAACCCTTAAACCCTAAACCCTAAACCCCAAAATCCTTTTCGAAACAGGTCGGTTTCAGGGCCCCTAAACCCTAAACCCTAAACCCCCAAAGCCCTAAACTCTAAACCCCCAAAGCCCCTTTTGAACAGGTCGCTTTCAGGGCCGGCCCCACCCGGTGCTTCTGCATCAGAGCGCGGACGCCGGCGCCTGAGGACTTCCCTGCGC